ACTGGCAACCAGGGAAGAGGATAAATCCTTTTCACCAATTCATCTGACTGTTATTTCTCACCTCTATTATCCCTATTGTTTGTTATGTCCAGTGAGGGCTTTCAAGTATAGGTTTTCTGCACTAATTCTTTTAGAGGTGCTAGATAACAACTTTTTATTCATTGGGATACTTCAGTTTCCTGGGATTTATCCCCAGTTACTTTTGTCAAGGTGGGTATGGAAATTGATCGATATTGCTTATTCTGGGCTCTCTTTGGAGGTGAGGAGACATCTGCAAGTCACGTGTCATCAGATTGACCTGGTTGAATTGCCCACTGGAGGACATTGTGTGGGCTGGTACGTGGATCTCCCCCAATACTTTATCTAGGTTTCAACAGGTTCTGTAAAAATTAGGTTTTCTATAAGACCACCTGGAGACAAATCGAGTGATATTACTGTACTATGTTGTACCACCACTCCTAGATTATCATGAATAAATCAGAAGGGGGATCCTGCCCGTCCCCTGATCATTGGATTGAATAAATTGAGGTCAGTTTGCTTTTAAAAATTTTAGGGAACTTCATTCATCTATTGCACTGTTGATGGACAGAAGCTATTCCTCCAGTGTGTTTGAGTGAATTTCTTCCACTCTTGGGGAAGAAAGAAAAGTTGGGGCCCTCCTACCCCATACCCTAGATGTTTTTTGTTTTTTTCCCCAGGTGTTGGTAGGAGAAGCACCAGCCTATGTGGGAGCCTACTTGTAATACCGGTTCAGATTTGATGCTAGGCTATCCAGTGTCGTAGCCAGGATGCACACATTGAGGGGGCATTGACAAACTCAAAGGGCGCGAGTACATTGTAATCATTTTCAGTTTTCGTTATAAATTTTTTTTATCATTTATTGATGTTCCTTATTAATTCATAAGCGAATTCACTCATGAAAAAATCTTTGATATCTGACAACAAGAGCTTAAGTTAGGTATAAACTGGTAGATTAATCAAAACAGAAAGCATAAGTCAGTCTCAGGGAAAGTTGATTGGACCCTTGTAATTAATTAAATCAAATTAAATTCAACCAATCACGGCGCAGTCACGTTATGACTATACGATGTTATGACATCATCACTTGCTGGGTACGATCAGATGAAGGTTTTAGGATATAAAGTGTTTTAAAATGTTTTTGAGGCCTATATAGGAAGATAAAGTGCAAAAAAAGTCTGTTGCAGCAAGGGTGGTGTCGAAGCGTGAAGACGGGGAAAAAACTATTCAGTGTGCTGATGGATCACACGTGCTTGCTCATTTGAACATAAGTAGGCCTAAAAACTTCTAAAAACGAATATATATATATCCCCCGGGCAATGCCGGGTACCTCAGCTAATATGTAATAAGACCGATTCCTAAACTATTATATAGAATTTACTAAAGTGCCTGCTAACAATTAAAGTAACATTTCCTCACCTCTGAAGAACAAAATGGGTGCCATGGATAGAATCTTTCCATCAATAATAATGCCTCAAACACTGTAAATCTAGCAATGCATAAACAAGAATGAGAGAGTGGTTTCAGTTATGTGTCTTCTTATCTTCACTGTTCAATGAGTGCATACAGTTCCCTTCTTGCGCAATGATTCACTTCCAACACGATTAATTTAGTGTATTCAACTATGCTCTTATTTTGTGTAAGAAGCAACACATTGTCTAACATTCAGTTATAATTCTTATTTTATTAATAAACGAACGATTAACATTGCATCGGTCGATAACAATTTATTTAAAATCTGATGAATCTGAATAATCAACGTCAGCAGTATGCAGCTGTCGATGCGATAAAAAAAAACAGAAAAGCCAAAATCATAAGTACAAATATATTTTATTCTATAAATATTGATTTACAGCAACTATTACTTTGGTTAACTAATATTTTTATACATGAATACATTGGAATTATTCAAGTTCGAAAAAGGAAAAAGAGGCATTATTGTATTTTTTTTAAGGCAGATTTTTAGAGGGTTATGTTATGAAGGGTGCATCTCGCTCTTTCGCGCCCCCGTGGCTACGGCACTGCAGCTATCCAGTTGGGATTGAGTGTGGCCCTTCTTTTTGATCAATATTGGTTCAATACATAGTTCATAGAAGAGGATCCATTGTCTCTTCATAATTCCGAATGCAGAATGGTCCTATTTTGGGTCCTTCGTTGAGCACAGTTTATTCCATGTCCTCTCCATAATTCTGGGGAAAAGTGGAACATACCTTGCCCACATGGTTGGGGAGAGAGGATGAGTGTTCTTAATTCCAGACGAGATGAGTTCAGGTTGAGTATGGCATAAGGGACTCCATCATTCTGAGTTTGTGGTGTTGCTTTTCAAAGTTCTTCAGGTTGAAGAGAAGGTTTGTCCACTTCAGTGTTGCTTACCTTCTTGTTGTGATTCCAGTGGCTCGGAATGCATCACTGTAGAGCAACAGGTTGGGATCCAATATATATATATATTGTGGTCCAAATGCTCTAGCCACCAACGTGGACTTTCGGGACCATGGCCCAATAATTCTAACCCCGAGCAGTCGAACCTTGGCTATTTGGTTGGGGCCTGGCCAATAGTGATGATGGATCATATAAAATTTCACCCACAGTGCATGAATTAGGTTCTGGGTGAAGAGCAGATCTGTTCTGGATATAGTGCGGTTCTCCCACTAGATTGCTAATTTTTTATTGGCATGCTATGCAGATGCATTCTCTGTGGGTAATGCCCTCACCAGCCCCTGTAGTATGAGAGGAGGTAAGTATGTTTTGTAAGTTAACATTTTCTTAAACTGAAAATGTATTTCCAATAATATTTACCTCCACTAACACTCTCCCACCCTTCCTCCCCACTAAGAGCCTGTGTTAGAGACTGCAGATTGGATCATTATCTAAATGAGATGCTTATATACAGTTCCAGGTTAGAGGGTGCATTGACATAGGTGAAGAGTACCACAAAATAGATATCACCAAGGGCAATTAATTGGGGAATAAATGAGTGGAGCAGGTGAGAAAAATCAGACCAATGCTTAGATGGGCAAAGGAAGAAACCCTGGCAGTCAAGTAATAGCTGTAATGTGAGAGCTGGTAAGTATTATTGGAAATACATCTTTGATTTAAGAAAATGTTAACCTCTGTTGGGGTAACCCATGTATTGCTATACAGTGTAACATCCCTTTTAACAATTACAGGGACATTTGGGTCATGGAGTAATTTAAGTTAAAAACAAAATATTTAAATAACACAAAAACAATTAAAAACAAACAAACACTGTCTTCATGTAATATATGACTCCATGTTTAAATGAAATCATCCAATATGGACTCTCATGTGTTAAATATACCTCTACAATTGGCTTAGACAAATATTAAATCTGTGTGCTATTGCTTCATGAGAGGATGATGCCATTTGGTGACTAATGATGAACCACTGTCTTTATGACTCCAGTTTCCTCCTCCATTTCAATGGCAGTATTCAGAGTTAAACCTGCTTGTATTGATTTTTACAATCAAATGAATTTCAAACAGATACTTTCGTCCAAAATACATTCTCACCCACTTCCCCACAAACAGAATATATGTGGTTTCCATCATGACTGCAACTATGAACTGTGAATTATGGAAGGAAAGCAGAACTTTCCTTGATGCAAGCACGGTAAGTCACGTAGGAGAGTAGAGAACTATGGGTAAGTTGACAAATGCTCTGCATTGTGTCAAAGGTATTCAGAATTTTAGTTTATTTCACATTTGTTGACAACGATTTAACAAAGAAGAGCTTTTCATGTTTCAGAGTTTATCTGTTTGAAATTCATTTTAATTTTAGACATTTAAATTTTAAAATACATTTCAAAAAACTATTTGAAGACAAATACATTATTTGGAATTTTGTGGAAATTATTGTGTCACATATCTTTTTGTTGTTGTTCTAAGCTGGTTTTAGAGGTTAGATTAAAAAACTTTCCTTACACTTTTCATTGATGCTGAATAACTGAGCATTAATACAAACAAATAAATTGTCTTTCTCCATTCTTTATTTAACTTCCCCAACACTGTTGCCAGATAAGCATATAAATTACACTCATGAATCAGAACTAGGTTCTTTTTATTTTTGTTTGTTTATAGTATTTATCTGAAATCTGTGTTGGATATGGCTGAGTGGTTAGTGTGCCCTATCCTTAATCCAAAAGTCCATGGTTCACATCCTGTTGCCACAAAATCACACTCCATATTATAGGGGGCATAAGTGCATTATAGGAGTGATGGTCAAATTCCATTATTTGATTAGATAACCCATGACTAGCTGCCTCCTCTCTAGTTTATCAGTTCAAAATTAGGGCTAACAACACTAGCCCTTGTGGAGCTTTGCAGAAATAACCAAAACAAACAATTATTTCAAAGCAATTATACATTTTTTTGAAATATTTTATTTTTACTTGCATTATTATTTCTCTGTTGGTTTTTTGACACAAGTTGCACCTGTTGACCTACTTAGAGTTAGTTGATTTTAAATGTACTTCCATAAATAGATATGTTCCAGTAAAAAGCTATAAACTATGAATGCAGTTAATAGTTAAGGTTTTTCATATACTGTTAAATAATGTTAAAAGATGTATGTTTTTAAGCTTAAAATACAAAATGCACCTACTAATGCTTAATGATCATGTAGCAAATACATATTAAACATGATATTACCTCAACTTATTATGAATACTAATAAATGATATAAATCCTTCATTAATTCTGTGAATTTCTATGCATTATTGATTTGAATAATTTATTACTTTAAATAAGCATGAGAGGATGTATTTTTACAAAAACCTGATATATTTTTTTAATGATTATTAAATGTATGTGGATAGGTGTTTTTCCTTGGTTAGCAAGAGAAGTCACAATGCTGCAATTTGTATGAAGTTTTATTGTACTCTCAAAATATGAGTTTACACAGAATTAGCATGTACATTTGTCCATCATCATTTTGGTTGAAATATGACTTGTTATAACTTCCAGGTGAAAACACTCTTTGCTCTGGCACCAGTAGCAACTGTTGGATACATTAAGAGTCCTATTAAATATTTAGCACCCTATACCAACGATATAGAGGTAAGATCTGAATTTCATATGATTTTATTTTCTCAGAAGGAATTATATATAGGCTATTATATTTAGTACTTCCTTATGCTTTTACTGTCTTATTTTGTGGTAAAGTTATGCTTGATGAAAATCCATTATATGAAACCTATGTTGCTTTAACAGGATGTAAAATTAATAAGAGCTGAAAGTGTTCTAGTGGTTAATGTGCTGCACTGTGGACCCGTAGGTCTATTGTTTACTTCCAGTCACCACAGCTGAAAGTGTTCTAGTGGTTAATGTGCTGCACTGTGGACCCGTAGTCTATTGTTCACTTCCAGTCACCACAGCTGAAAGTGTTCTAGTCGTTAGTGTGCTGCACTGTGGACCCGTAGGTCTATTGTTCACTTCCAGTCACCACAGCAGAAAGTGTTCTAGTAGTTAATGTGCTGCACTGTGGACCTCTAGGTCTATTGTTCACTTCCAGTCACCACAGCTGAAAGTGTTCTAGTGGTTAGTGTGCTGCACTGTGGACCCGTAGGTCTATTGTTTACTTCCAGTCACCACAGCTGAAAGTGTTCTAGTGGTTAATGTGCTGCACTGTGGACCCATAGGTCTATTGTTCACTTCCAGTCACCACAGCTGAAAGTTTTCTAGTGGTTAATGTGCTGCACTGTGGACCCGTAGGTCTATTGTTCACTTCCAGTCACCACAGCTGAAAGTGTTCTAGTGGTTAATGTGCTGCACTGTGGACCCGTAGGTCTATTGTTCACTTCCAGTCACCACAGCTGAAAGTGTTTTAATGGTTAATGTGCTGCATTGTGGACCCGTAGGTCTATTGTTTACTTCCTGTTGCCATAACAATAACAACAAATCGTGCTCACCTCTTTGGGTTTTTCATCTTAGTTAGACAAAAGTAGCCCAAAAGTTTACAGAGGCTGCTGTTGACTACATTAGCTACCCTCCCTCTAGTCTATTAGTTCAAAGTTATGGATAGCCCTTGATTATCTTTACATGAATATTCAAAAAACAAAACAAGTAAAACATGCATGTAGATTTTGCTCTTAACAGGCCGTGTGAAAAGGACCTACAGTTTTAATGTGGTTAGCTGTAAGTGATGTTCACTTTCCTTTTAACATTTGACAGTGGAAGAAATGATAAAAAAACAGAAAGGAAATCCAGTGTGAGAGATAGAGAGAGAGGCTATTCTATGATTTATTCACCAGCTAGTTCTGTTGCACCCATTTATCATTATTATATTATTTTAAAGACATTATTTGCTTCATGACCCTTCATTGCAAAGCTTTAACTATTATGTCTGTGTAAGATCATATATTTAAAGCCATGTATTCTAAAAAAAAGAAAGAATTTTCTTTGTGAATATTAATCAAAGTTAATATAGTGCCAGGGAATATATATAACTGAGGAGTTGAAGGAAACAATATGTTTGTGGTTTATTCACCCCCCCCCCCTTGAATAAAGATGCAAAATATTATTTTCTTAAATTTATGTTATAGACATATGCCAGTTTTTACTCTATCTTTAAATTTACACTGTGACACTGTACTTTGACATGTAGGAGCAATAGCATTTTTTATTAAATTATTCCTTATTTCAGAATATTCTTTTAAAAAATTGTATGTGAAGTATTATTCCTCTGTTTAATGTATGCTTAGATCATTGTAAATCAACATCCTCCATGTGTAAGGTTAATCATATTTAAGGTACCATAACTAAATAGCTGCATTGTTTGTTTTTCTCAACATAAAATGATTTTTAAAAAGTAAATAAAAAATATATTTTGTTTCAGATGCTTTTTAAGTTACTGGGAATTAATGAGTTCCTTCCAAACACCAAGTTTATAAAATTTCTTGGTGACTTGGTGTGCTCAACAGAGATTAGAATATTTTGTGAACAGGTTATTTTCTTGTTTGCTGGTGTTGATCCCAAACAAATTAATGCTGTAAGTACTTCATATTTTAAATAAAGTTTCTAATAAAACACAAACTTTCAATATTTGGTTCTGTTACATAAAAGAAAAGGATACAGTATTTTAATGTGTTACAAGTTAAAAATAGATTTATTGAAACCTCACTTTATCATCTAGCTTTTTACTTGACACATACCAATGTAATGTTGCTTACTTCGTAACTGGATTATAAGGGTATTTCAGTAATGAGTGACCTGTTTCTACCTCTTATCATAAGTCTAAGCACTTCAGTTGAATATATTTGTTTCAAATTAATTTGTGAATTACTTTATAGCATAAATGTTGAAAATAGAAACTTATAATGATAATTTACAAGGTGTTGATACATGGCTTTTTTGTCATGTTTTTAGACTCGTTTGCCTGTATATATTTCCCACAATCCTGCTGGAACTTCAACTCAGAATATTGTGCACTTTGCTCAGGTCAAAGAAAATTTTGTACTCATTTATACTATGCTGAATATTTTAATTTAGGATTTAACTTTTCATTATTATATATATATATATACAATGTCTATAAAATTAGTTAGTGAGAGCCACTACAACTAGTCTTTCAGTTATTATCCAGGCAAGTGCAAGTAATGGTGCTAGTTAGTTCTAAAGCATTTATGTATAATTGTACATGATGGTCCTATGATTTTGTACATTTATCTTACTTTTATAACATCTAACTTGTTAGAAACAAAATATTTTACTACTTGCTTCAAAAATTTCTTTTGTAAATTATTGATAAAGCATTGTATTTAAATATATTAGACTTATTGAATGTTTACAGATTGCTTTTTTTTACAGTTAGTGAATTCTAAAAAACTTGTGAAGTACAATTATGGAAAGATTAAAAACATGGAATTATATAATCAGGTATTTAACTTATTTTGATTTCATAAATTGTTTATATATTTATCTGTTATATCATGACCACTTAAACAGTTATTAGATTTTAAGTTATACTTTTTTGGGGTTCTCAAAATCTTGAAAGATTATAGTGAATAATCAGGTATTTAACGGGATATGAAGATGTGGATATAACGTGTATGAAATATTTCTAAACAGTTCCTGAATACCTCTGAGTGTCAGTCGGAGACTTTCTTGCTTCTTGTGCTTGGCTGTTAAACTTGTAATGTGCTGATGGATTTCAGTCACCTTACCACTTCAACTCACTTTTTGCAGCTCCAATGTTAAAAGGGTGGGGGAAATGCCTTTTTTTGGCCAATCAAAATGTCCAAAAAATTTCAGTTTAAATTAAGAAAAACTGGATTGGGTAGGGTTTTTTTTTCAACAAAAAAAGTCCCCTACTGGCTCATGAGAGGCCTGTTATAAACTTATATCCTAACTTGATATATTATTTCTCTTAAATTCTTAATGTACTAATGTTTCAATGGGTGAATGAAATCCATACAAGATTAGTGAGTAAAGTTTTCTCAAGACTTTACTATAAAAAAAAAGTTTTCAATATAAGGTGAGTGTTCCATTATTTTTTAAGTTTAGTTTTTTAAAATATAACATTATACTTCTTTTTGTTTATGGTTTTGAATGTTTCAGATTCCCCTTACTATCTTGAAACAAAATCCCAATGGAAAATAGTGATCCACTTCTGATAGCCTTGTGTTATGTCCGAGTGTTTTAAATCAAGAATAAGTGTTAGTAATATTGTTCTTTCTCTGCAGTGTTGAATGAATTCCTCCATCTTTCCAGTATAAAGTTTTATTCTGTATGTTTTGTTCATATTTTTGAAATAAATAAATCAACTAAAATTATTTTTATAATAGGTCCATAACAAAAAGTACTTTTTTTTCTAATCTCCAGACAGATCCACCAGAATATCTTTTGGAGAAAATTACTGCACCAGTGGCTCTGTTCTGGGCACAAGATGATTGGCTTGCTGATGTTGTAGATATTGCTTTATTACAACCACGCTTGAAGCATCTAAGGAAGAGTTACTTAGTCAATTATACCATGTGGTCACATTTAGACTTTATATGGGGAATAGATGCTCCAAAATATGTATATAAAGAACTACTAAAAGTGCTCGAAAAATATTAGAAGTATTTTGTCAAAGTATCTTTGAATATTGAAATAAATACAAGACAAGGAAAGATTTTTTTCTGCATGTATTGGAAATAGAATCATTTAACCTTTTGCTCTAAGGTTCTTCATGATTTAGAGCATTTATTTAGTAATATCTTTAGAATAGTTAGAAGAATATGAATCTAAAAGAACCATCTAATCCAAACCAATAACCTTATAATACCACTGGCTTGTTTTAAGTTTCCTTCAGTTTACTAACTTGTTATTAAGATCTTCCTAAAGTTAGTTCCTTAATACAATATTCTAAACAGTCATGATGTTTAGCATTTTTATTTTTTATTTTGATTGAAAATAACGGTATATATTACAACAAAAGTAAGAAAATCTCTTGAAATTTGACTTAAAATAAAGATATGGTCAGTTTAATTATTATGAAAGTATGCATTAAAATTTTTAAGGAATTAGGTGAGAGCCTGCAATGTGTGACTTAATGCTTTGCATTCAGAGCTGTGAGTGTGTTACAAAAGTAACAGTCAATCCCACTATTTGGTTAAGAGTAACCATATATGCAATGGGTACTGTTGACTTGTTTCCCTGAATTAGAGACGGCTGTGCCTGAATCTAACCTGGCTGTTTAGCCCATATGCTAGTCAGTTTGAAAAATATCAAACAAAATTTATTAAACATACTAATTATACGAGGGTTATAAACAGTAGGGCAATAAATCAAAACATTATTAAAAACAACAATTATTAAAAAGTGTATGTGTTTGAGTGTGTATATATATATATATATATATACACACACACACACACACACACAACTGCCCACATTTAGACGACTACTAACTGTCATTCTCAAGGGTCTGTTTAGTTCAGACAATGTTTTTAATACTGTCTTAGTTAAGTTTACATTTGTTTTTACAAGATTTAATGACTTCTGTAAAGTAATTTAACTGCAAAGAATGGTTAAATTATTATTTCTGTAAAAGTTTATCATATCACTAATACCATTAGTTTCTGTATATTATCAACTAAACTGCATTTGCATCAAGAACTTTTTAATGTGGTTTTGATTTGTAACATTGGTGAAAACTCAGCCCCCTCTAACTAATGTTGCTAAGGTAAATTTCATGGCAACATTTGCACTAATATTCAAGAGTAAAATTGTCAACTAGTATTTTTTTGAAACACCATCATGGAAGTTTGTTACATAGTGTTTATATACCTAATTGTGGGCCTCCCTGTGTGGAAGGGCAAATAAGATGAGATGATAATTGATATTGTTTTCAGACATTGCTGGTTTAAGTTTCTACTTAGATGCATTTGAATTTGATTTTTCTGTCTGATCTACTTCAGCATTGTAATTTAAATACGATAAATTTTTAGTGTAGTTAAATTTAAAAGCATTTTAGCTTTAATAGCCATCAATGTTATTTAGTGATAAAAATAAGCTTTTCTAATTTATGAATTTATTCAATTTTTACAGATGATTGCTTTATTATGTTTTTGAAGATTCTTAATTTTCTTTCATATATTTTTACTAGTCATATATTATATCTTTTTGAAATAAATGTTTTGTGATTTTTTAAAACATTTTGATGTTAGTAGTATTTATTCCTTATCTGTGCATTTAATGTGAAGAAAAATGTACATGGTTAAAAGTTTTTAGTCATAAGCAATAATAAGCTGATAAACTGATTTATATTATGGTAAATTATTAAAATTAATTATTTTCAAAAGCATTTGTTAAATATTATTCAACTAAGTCTGATGAATTCTTTGAAAAGCCTAGTCAAACTTTTAAGTAAAAGAAGGCCAAATTATATATAAAATAAAAATATTGTCTGTTTTTCTTTCACAGCATAGGATGTTTACCAATAAGACAATTAACACAAAATTCAGTTCAATAGTTTATTTAAAGAATCTGAATTAGTAAATAATACTGGTAACAAATAACCTAAATTGAGAATGGATAAATAAAATCTATAACATTCATCAAAAGAAAAGATATTATGTACAGTCATACCTGCTTGAGAGACAGTCTTTGTGTAGTATTCTTTCAAAACTATATATATACACACACACACACACAATGAATTTTGACCAACTTTCCATAAAGTCATAATCTATACTCATGTCATGCTTGACAAAAAAAATCAGATGATCATGCTTACTAAATCTAATTCAACCTATCATTAGTGCATGGCACTAGAGTACTGACTCCTCTATTTGAGTGGTACTCAATATGTTATATAATGACATTAAAGAAAAGAGGCACAACTACAATATACATAGAGGATTACCACTTTATCAGATGGTAGGGTAAAAACTTTTATAAATTTAAATAAAAAGGAAATCTAAAATTGAAATTTATGAATTATTTTATTACATGAAATGTGATGATAGATATAACTATCACAAAGGCATGTTAGGAACTAATATTTAAATATGTGTTAAGCCAGATATTAAAGTCGTCAAATGAATTGAATTCATCACCAATTTTAAATCCCACTATTCCATAATTAGTCTTTGATTGGTGGATAATTAGATTATGTGCATTATAGCCTAATATGGGGAAACATGAACAGTTTCTTTGCTGATGGTCATTTTGCAATATTTATTCCAACTGTTGATACTGTGTAGTTACCACATGTAATAACATTTTCAAAATGCTGTAATAGTTGAAACAGCATTTTCTTAATCTAATTAAACTGAAAGATAACTTTGTGCTTACGTATGAATATTTCACAGTTTTATGGACGTAAAAAAAGGGACATCAGATAAAATAAACCCTAATGTGGATGATAATAGTTCTATCCTTATTATATTACAGTCTTCATAACAGTTTTCTTTTTTTTTTATGAAAGTAGTCTCAATTAGTGTTTTTTGCTTCAATTACTCACAATGAAAAATTTAATGTCAATTTCTGGATGTAATTTTAAAATAAAAAGTGATTTAATCATGTAAATTTGTTTTATTTCAGTTGTCCTTTCAACATGGCATACGTGCTCCACCAATGGTATATGATGGACGGCGTGGCTTTATTATAGCCGTTGGTATAAAATAAATACTTTCATATAGGACTTTGGAGGTATGATGCACAGTTATATCTTATGGGTGCTGTGTACCACGAGTGGCTCACGACGTCCAACAGAAAACATGCATATGTACCACCGGTGGCACACGATGTCATGAACATGTTAAAGTACAAGAAAAGTAACTAGCCTGGGGAAAGTTAGCTTAACCTTTTCACCTTGTATAACGTACAAGGCACAGGGTTCTGTTACGACAGCGGAAGTCACGTGACGCTGGTGGCGTGTGCGAGGAGTTTCTTGAATGATCATGAATTTTCGGGGGAGTCCTAGTGCTTTCGAGACGCCCTCTTCTTTAGTATATAAGCCTGGCAGAGAAGCT